CGTGAGGCCTTCCCTTACCTGGATAGCATAGCTTATTTTCCATGCAGGCATTGTGCTAATTGTTCGTCTATATGAAATAAATGAATTCTAAGAACTAAAGAGAACAAGGCTTCAACGAATTAAAATCACCATTTAAAAGACCCCCGGACTATGCGCAAACAACAAAATACACAGAGGAACATTTAAATTAAAAAAGCACTAAGAAGTGACCAAAGTTAATGAGAATGAGTCAGCGAGAGATGATCCTTAACAGACCACACACCCCTCAGGTGGCAGAGATGCCCAACTTGTCCAGGTAGCTGGTCAAGCAGCTGAGTAGCAAGAGCCTGTTGAGTGAGGGCGTTTCTCTCCCCAGTGTCCTATATTCCTTCCCATTGCTAATCAGTGAAATTTACTACAAAGAAAATGATCCTAAATGCTACTGTCTAACTGGAAAGAAAAAAAAAATAAAGAAAAAGTAAAGGACAGAAGGCAGAGTGGTAAAATTTCAAAGAACACAAAATGTATTTTGCCAGAGACTTTGCAGGCATTAGAGACTATGTATGAAAAAATGTATTCTTCGTCTACACCCCTGGTACTATATTAACAAAGTAATCTCTTTTCTATAAAATAAAATGTTGAAATGGAAATATTTCATGTAAAATTCTTAATATATAAAAATGAGTAATATTTAATGCATTTTTACTTTGTTTACCCAATCTTCGGTGGCTAGAAATCACAAAAATTAAGAAAATGAAAAGTACCTGCCATCCTGCATAAGGTCACAGGTTCCAAGGAAAAATTCTTGTAATAGCTAATTGGAATCTACGTACAGCTTCGTATCTGAATGAATCATTTCACCTTGAAAACATGGGTAAGGTATTTCTACCCAAAGAAAGTATTTGCGAAAATAGAAAAATAATTCTGCTCTCTGGATTACAGAAAAAAAAGGGTTTAAAACCACAAGACTTCATTCACTATATATAACAAGTCTTTCAATTCAGCTTTTTTCTGTATGTGATGCAAGCACCTTTCCTAAAATATTAGAGCTTTGAAAGCAGCACTGATGAGAAGCAATTTTAAACTTACCAAGTTTGACAGCACCGCTATTTCAAAAATTTAAACAAATGTTTCAATTATGAACTCTAGTTGTGATAATGCTCCAGATACTTTGAAAGGAAAACCTGATAAAATTGTATTTTTTGGAAAGGTTTTGGAGAGGAAGTACTTCAAACTCTTATTCCATGAAGACAACCAGCATGTACGTCAACATAAAACTAACAACCAAAATAAAAAGGGTAAACTGTAGCCAGAATCCTCTCAAGGAAACTAAAGACTAACAATAAACCATACTGGAAAAACTGTGAAAGGAGAATAAGCACTGCTAACACCCGAAGCATTTCTCAGAAAGGGTGTTCTCAGATGTTAACATAAAATGCAGAAACTATCTCTTCAAATGTATATACACCTCTTCAAATGTTCTAGAAAATTGCTCTAAAAACAGTTTATACTACAAATAAATAAGTTGCCCAATTTTAGACAACACTTTAGTTAGCTAGGAAAGACTATAACTTGACCAATTCCAACACTGGTTTTTCTTTTTTTTTTAAATAGGCCATTCCTACCTTTGTTATTTAAATATTAAGTACTATTTCAAGATTTTTTGCATATAAATGCAAAAAAACTTACATTGTATTTAATAAATTTAATACAATTAAAATTCTTGGTTTAATTTATACCCCCAATGTAATATTTATACGATAAAAAGATTAATAGTAAAATGGGATACTATTTTATCACTTATACTTGTGATACCTTAATAGTTTCTAAATAAATACTATGCTCAGCAGCACTAAAGGTGGAAGTCATTGCCTTCGACCTGCATTCATAAACTCGAACAAAGAGCTTTAAAATATAAAAACATTTTATATCATTACTCCAAACTGAAGGTTTTGGGCCTTAGCAAAGATGGCAGCCGATTATAAACTAAAATACCTCGGGTGTGACTATTAATACCTTGCAAATTGTAAAAAATACTATGACTACTCTTTCTAGGTTACACAAAATGATTATAATGTTACAACATGAAGTACTGATGTTCTCAAGGAATTAAGTTTAGTTGATGTCGTCAAAGATCATCCGATTTGAGTCACTTATAAAAAAATTAATCTTTTAGGGCATGAGCTATACAAAGCTCAAATAAAATTCAGAGGCAACTTCTTTTTCCCATTTGTTTCAGCCCTGACACTGCGCAGGCATAACTGAATTCAACCAGAATGATGTATACAGTTAACATAGGTGGGACTCACTTATTGGCAGAAATTCACTGTCTGCTGCCAAAGCTGGTATTTATCTACAGCAGGCTAACATGAAGATGCCTAGAGAAAAATTCTCTTTCCAAACTGTGAGCTTCAATCTAAGTGCTGACTACTTAATTAAATCTAAGCTTTAGCACTTAATTTTAAAATACTAGTTTTTACTAATTTCCATAAATTGGTATGATCTGGATCATAACGAAGATAATGTGTTAGAAAAGGCCAGTACCAGAGGATGGCATTTTCAAAGGATCACTATCAATGAATGGAATGTACTCAGTCCAGTTCAGGACTGAGGTTATTTAACAAGCCACAAATATGCTCGAGTACTTATGTGTGTGTAAATAGTATTTTTTAAAAAACCTTTTTTTTTAACAGTTTCATCAGTATGACACAAATCCAAGTATATTTTTTCACTTTTCTCTCCTCCAAGATTATTAACAACAAAGAAGTATTTCTTCAATCAACAGGAGGGACAGTCCCAAAGCAATCACATTACCACATGGCAAAACCAAAGATGAGAATACAATCCAGGCTTCAAACATGTGAACGAGAGCCACCCCCAACTCAAACCAGCTTACATACATCTTTAATGTCATTGTTAATTTAAAGGAATATGGTTCTGGAAACATGTGTACCTGCTGTGTCACGATAGTGTACTGACACCCTATTTTGGCATACCTCTTTTTTTGAGGAACTGTTTTCAAGGCCTATCCTAGAACATGATTCTACTTTTGGCTTCCTTTTTCTCAATACTAATGCTGCCCTATTGGTTTCACAGGCTTATAAATGTTAAACATCAAAAATTAGTTTCACTTATTATGGTTAGAAAAAGCTTTAAGAACTCTGGGATCTGTGCCTCTGAGCAAAGGCTTTATCAGCTGGTCCCAGTCACTGCTTCTTAAAAAAAAAAAAACAAAAAAAAAACCAGTACTGATTAAAAACCAATATACCTGATTTCCAAAAGGACACCTACCATGCATATGTACATTTAATTCATAAAGAGTTTCTGCCCCAAACTCACAATTAGTTACTTCTCAAAATCCCATCTCTCATTTCCACAGTGACTGGCACCAAAGGGATAAATATGAAAAATTAAATCTCAAACTAAACTATTTATTCAAGAATTCCATCTTGATTACTTTAGTTAGTCTTCATGGATGCTTAATTAACATGGCATCAGTATCTTTCCAACGTCTGTCTGAACAGCAAAAACTTTCCAGATGTTTTTCCACTTATACAAGGACAAGAATAGAACCCAAATTATTGTTTTCCTTTTAATCAGAATTCTTTAACTCCACACTAAATAAATTTAATTTATTGTACTAGAACAAAACATTACATTTGTATGGAAGTAAAAAGAACACAAGAAATGTTTGCTATCCTTACAAGGGCTGAAAATATGTATTTTTAAAGCAATCTCATTTGTCATAAAGTGTGACAGAAAATAAGAACCCTTAAAATGGAAAAGACCTAGTCAGTATTATACAATTCCCATTTCGAAAACAGCAGTATGACAAAGCAAAACACAAAACAGAAAACTAATCTCCTCAAAGGAAACACACATCTGAGGCCTCAAAGGCACTACATCTGTACATTCTCACAAGCAGCTTCGAAGGGCAGAGAAAGGAAAGCTCACGAGTGAAGACGAGTGAGGCAGACAAGGTGAGAGTCACTATGCAACCACTGGTGGACACGAGGCCACTGGTGACTCATCTCCTCCCAGTACATCATTTCAGCTGAAGGAAAAATAACATAATTTCTGAATCCCTAAGCTTCACTTCTAGACTTGTTTCTTCCGACATCTGATGATGAAAGAGTCTAACAGTATTTCCATAGAAGAATTGATTGAAATAGTGATTTTATCGTAGTCTTAGAAAAAACCTTCACCTGCAGGTGAGTAGGAAAGAATAGTACACATGGCCAACGGTTTACACAGAGGACTAAAGATATTTTGTATGTAATCAGACACCATGGAGTAGTTATAACTTAGGAATGAAATGCAAGTAGAGTGATGCTAAAAATGAAAGCTATAGTAGAGCTTTCACCCTAGAGAGAATAAAAAAGAATCACAAAACAACAACAACAAAACATATGCCAACGTGAACTCTATGTGTGACTGCCTAGCGACACCTAGCAGTGATTCCCAATTAGAGGAATATTCTCCTCAGAAGGTACAAATCAGAACCTTCTGGAAGCCTTGTATACTTGGAAAAGGAATATTTAACATAGCTACTAACTTGATACTATAGACTATAGGTAAAAATTGCCAAGACTGGAGATTCTTTAGGGCTGAGGGAAATGTGCAGAATAGGAAGAAAGCATCTGGGGGAGCAAGGGTTAGGGTTGAGATGTGACATTAGGATGTGCAGAGCCCTCAGGGAGAGTTAAACTGAGTTAAAGACGCAAACAGAAAAAGAAAGCTAGCCTTTTAATCACAACTGCCAAAACGCTCTCTGAACTTGGTGAAACCTAGGGTTGCATATCAATCATGGATTATTTCTACCACGAGTTTTAAAATAATTTAAAAACATTTAAGACAAAAATAAAACCTAGCATTTCGAAATAAATGGAAGAATAAGAGGGAAGAAAATGGATGGAAAGAAAAATCTTAGGTCAAATATCGAATACTGAATTTATGATTATAAAAAGAATGTACATTCATTTTAGAAAATTTGGAAATAGAGAAAATGTGCCATCACTTACCTCTCGGGTAGCTAGCTGGTTGCTGAGTTCCTCAGCCTTCTCAATATTCCACTCTTCCACTGCCTGGTCTATGCTCTTTTCAAGGCCCGACTAAGAAGAAAAAAAATGGAAAACTTAAAGGCAAGAAAGAAAGGCCATAATAATAAACATTTGCTAGCCACAACTCTGGCTCTGGACTATACCAAATATATTATGTACTCAAACCACCTGATTCTCATGATGACCCCATGTGGTGGCTGGTACCACTCTCATTTACTGACAAGGAGAAGGCCACTCAGAGACATTAAATGGTTTATTCGAGGTCATGTAACTTCTTGAACTAAAAAAAAAGGAGATGCAAATCCAGATTTTTGTGACTCCAAGGCCTATCCTTTCTCTTAATAACAATAATAAATAACATTGATAATAGCTAGAAATTATGACATGCTTATTATGTGATAGACCCCTGGCTCAGTACTATAAAAAGCTCATTTCATCCTTACGACAACTCTATAAAATAATACTGTTATCCTGTTTTGAAGGTAAGGAAACAGAGGCTTAGACTAACTTGGCCAAGGTCACAGTTTCTGTAAGTGGTAAGGTCATGATATGAATCAAGGTTTGCCCAGAGTCTGTATTCTCAATCGCAATTTTCCTCTGCCTCTCTTCTCTACTGCCTATTCCTGTAGCTTGAGACTTCATTCAACAGCCTCTCCTTTTTGACTATGGTATTAAGTTGGATATTAAACATGGGAAGAAAATTATATATAAGAATGATTTTATTTTCTTATAGACATGTTTATACTTGATAATTTAGGAAATCATAACTAAAATTTTCATGGGATTACCAAACACATAAGACTCATCATATATATTTATGGAAAGATGTTGAGGCTTAAATAATTGAGTTTCAGCTTGTGGAAATAATTACTACAGAAAATACAAAATTTTTAAAATGGTCTAATATATGCATCTTACAAGATTTTATCCTAACCGTGGCTTATCTAGTGTATCCTTTAACATTTTCAGTTAAGCAACTTCTCCTCTCTGATCTAATAAAAGAAGTCCTGGGAATGCTTCTTCCATCACTGTGTTGCTTGAACATACCCATCAACTAAGCGAAGTGTTGTTCTTATGTACTGTTGAAGTGAGATTTTAAAAATAGCCACGCATTCAAAACAGAAACAAACTCATAGACACAGAATAAACTCATGGTCGCCAGATGGAAAGGGGGTTGTGGAGGAATGGGTGAAAAAGGTGAAGGAATTAAGAAGTACAAATTGCCAGTTACAAAAATAGTCATGAGATGTAAAGTACAGCATACGGAATACAGTCGACGATACTGTTATAACTGTGTATGGCGTCTGATGGGACCAGACTTACTGGGGTGATCAGTTCCTAAGTTACGTAAATGTCTAATCACTATGTTGTACACCTGACATTACTACAATATTGTACATCAACTGTAACTGAAAAACAAATGTTAAAAAAAAGTACTATTACTTCAGTCTAAGAGAAGCTGTTCATTTCCAGATCACAAACTTTCCCCTAGAATTTAATTTATAATTCTATCACAGGTAAATATGAGGTTTTTTCCCCTTAGATTGACTACTTGTGGCAAAAACTGAATAAAGTTTATACTTCTAAATTAAAAAGAAAATATTCACACATAATTTGCCTAAAAAAATTATGGAAAGCTTGAAAGCTTCTTTCAAGTGCTCCTTGGAGTCTCTGACCCTAGGCCTTGTGGCACTACTATCCTTTTCACACTCTAGTCCTGCAATCATCTACCAGTGTCCAGAAATTTCCTTTTCTTGGATGTCTGCAGAACACCTCTCCAGCTGGTCTTAAACACCCTGGACGCACTTTTCCACATTCTTCATCTTCAGGGACTTCTAACTCCAACCTCCCTCAGTAGGCTACATCTTAGGACAGTGCCACTCCAAGTGTGGTCTGGGCACCAGTTCTGGTCTGCAAATAGTGCCACTGCATGAATGGAGCTTATGCCAGATGCAAATCAACGACATGACTATGCAAGTTTTATTTAGCTGACTTTTTTTTTAGGGAAGGAGAGGTAACGGAGGACAACAAGACTTTCTCAAAGAAGGAAACAGTCCCCTGAGTTACATTCGGGTATGAGTTCATTATCTCTTGGAAGACCAATAATTTGAGTTGGCTTGCTCTAGGCCATGTAACAGAGATCACCTGAAAGCTCCAATCTGGAATTCTCTCAAGCACAAGTGTCTGTCCTTCCACTTATCTCACATCTCTGCAGCTAGCAAACCTGCCTGCCTCGTCTTCATTCAGAACCCCACACTCTGGCACCACCACTCATTCTCACTGCCCTTCAGTCCCCTTCCTGCATTCTCTTTTCCTGCCTCTCTGGCCTGCAACCATGATTAACCCTTTCTAACTAGACGTTAAGCCAGCAGCTCTCCAAGTCTGAGTCTGGACCAAAAGCATCATCGGCATTACCTGGGAACTTGTTAGAAATGCAAGTTTTCTGAATCAGAAACTCTGAGGGTGAAGCCCAACGATCTAAGCATGATAAAGTCTGAGAACCGCCAACCTAAGCAATATCTTCAACTTCCCTCAACACCTTACCACATTTTGGCTATTCCCAACCATTTCTTTCTACTACTTTAAGATCTGTGCCTCAGCAATGCCACAGAAAATCACTCAATTCACTGGCTTCGCCAAAAGCTGTTTTTCAAACTCAGCTGGGTGGGTTCTCAATTCTGCCCTTGAAAGTTTTCACGTTCCTCTAAGAAACTTATATTTCTTTTCCATTTTCCCAAATACCCTCAACCCTACCGCCTTCCTTTTCAGCAGATCATAACTCCGCCCCCTACTTCATGGGAGGCAGAGGTGGGAGAAGGGAAGTAAGAAAAGAACCAAGGACATGTATGTCCTTTCTACACTCTTCTTCTCATCTGCATTTATTCTGCTCCTCCATCCTGTTCCCATTCGCCTCCAAGAAAGACTCAGCTCCCTTGCCAAGTCTAACTCCACTACCTGTGCTCATCACAATGCCACCTGCTTACATGCTATCTAGAACTCTGCTCTTTAAATTTTCTTTTCGTCATCTTTCTCTCACTCTACAAACGAGCTCGTCCTCCTCGTTCTGGACCAGGGCCGAGATGGGATGACTCGGCCCTCTTTCCTCAAACTCATCTCTCTTCTAAACACTCTATCGGTTGCCCTCATGTCCCCTCCCTTTCGATCTTCTATTCCTTTTGTCCTCACCGTTCTGAAACTGCTCCCTCTACAATCATGGGTGACACCATCCGTCCTCCTCCTATTTGATCTTTTGTTAACTAAACCCAGATTCTTAAAACTGTCTCCTCAAACATCTATCTCCAATCTCCTTTGAAGCCCCTCATCTCCTCTTGTTGCCCCTTAATTACAGCAGTCCTCCAGATTCGGAGATTGACCCCCTTTTCTTCTTACTCTTCAATCGCCCAGTAACTCAATCCCAGGGCTTCAACTGATTTTTATAAGCTGCTTTGTATCTCTAAATAATTCAAAACATCTGACTTCTCATCTGTACCAAGATCTACATCTCTAGCTACTTGCTATTTTCAGGTTGAAGGCAGGGACTTCAATTTTTACTATGTCTAAAAACAAGCCCATCGCTTCCTGCCCTGCTTCTCCTTCAGCGCTGACCACCCACTTAGTCACCCCTCATGGAATCCTCAGTTACCATCAATGCCTCCAATCCTGTGCTCTTATTTTAACTCTCTTTTTGTACTATTTCTCATTTATCCCTTCTGTGCTTCTTCAGGGCCTCGTTATTATTGGTAGTCTATCTTTCTAAAACAGATACCATGTCATTACCCAGTCTAAAACAACAAAATCATTTCTTTACTCCTTTTCAATAGCATCCAAATCCCTTCACGAGGGCCCCCAAATCCATTCTCAGCCCCATCTTGGGCAATGCTGCACTCCCTAATCTCGGGCCACATCTACCATTCTGAACGTTCCCTGTGCCTCTGATGTGTTTCCATTTGAAAATCTCTGGTCGTCCTGGTAATTCTCAAGTCAAATGTTACCTTCTCTATCTATGCAGGTGCCCTCATCCCTAAATACCCACTGACCCTGCCACACCCCTCCCGATGCCCAGGACCCAGCTGCTCCTCTGTGCTGTCCCTGTACTTCACGTCTCTCCTCAGCACTGCTGATCTGATACGCTACAGTGAGTTGTGCGTCTGTCTCCCCTCCTGGGTTCTGCACTAAGAACAACACATGTGTTACTGGCTTGGTGTGTCCCAGCTTCTAGCCCAGTTTCTCACACAGGAGGCAACTCTGTTTCCCTCCAATTACCCAGGTTTCCTGAGAATACATAAGATCTGGGCGCTGCATTTCCTTACGCTAGAACCTAGAATCATCATATGTCAGTGAGCAAAAAGGAATACAATACACCCTAGTTTTTCCACCAGTGCCCATGAATAAACCAGGGGTCTGCTTAGCAAGTCCTTTTGCCGCATTAACTTGCTAACTTCCTTCCCTTTGGCTACCATGGAGCTACACACTGCAAGTTAATGTCCCAAAGAGGAAAACAAGAATATTCCCCTTTTCTAGAAACTTATATGAACTGCTGAGCTTATAAAGCATGATTTTCACTTAAAAATAAATCATCTCTTATAAATTTATCTCTTCATCATCAACCAACTTCCCATTCCCCAGCCATTCGGAGCAGCCTCTAAGAGAGATGGCATAATACAGGAGAAAGAGCACTGGACTAAAAGTCAGAAAATGTGGTCACAGCTCTGGGTAAATAAGATACTTAATTCCAAAATGTCAGTGTCCTCAAAGAAAATGTGAGTATTGGCTTGGATGACCAAACTCTCTCCTAAAAATAAAATCCTAGAATTCCACTTGTATGTTCAACTTTGTTTATAGGTCTTTAAAAAAATTTTTTTTTTTTTTTAAATTTCAACCAAGTTTCACTAGATATAACTTTATATTTTTACCCTCCCTTTTCTTTCTTTTTTGGCAATTTACTTAAGTAAAATATAATAGTACCTTTAGGCTATGAAAAATTTCTGGTTCCATGTGTATACTTAATCTTCCTGCTTCTATAAGAAGACATTAACATTCCAAATGCCTAC